GCTAAAATTTTGATAGGAAAATATTATATATTAAATTGAGTTAAAATAGTTGTCTTTGTAATGATTAGTTTTATTTACACACATGCTATTTTATGTGCTTTTGTACATTTTTATTTAGTTTGTGATAAGTTCCACATATTTTCCTTGAAATCCATTATACATGTGATGTATTTAACAGATGTAACTTCAGTATAATACTTATGTGGTATTTTGTACTCTAATTAAACCAAAAATCTTTCTGGGATCCAGAACCATTTTTTCTCAAACCTTATTATTTTTATTTTTCTGAATCACCTCCTCTTTCCTCCTAGGCCGCACATTTCTACTGTATTGACAAGTATAGCTCTAGTCTTATGCTATCACTTACTTGTACACTGTCATTTTACACACATACTATAATTTCTACAGGTCTAAGCTGCTTGGTGAGAAGTATATATATATACAGTTTTCATGATGAAATAACAGCAATTTCTACTCCATCTTTAGTTCATGATAATTTGTTCTGTGTCCTCATCAATACATTGTATTCTTTTTGTTGTTGTTGTTTCTTAATGTAAATTTAAATCAGGGGCACACAGAGACTGGGTCACACATAGTTGCTTTGGGCCTTGCTATGATTCTGAGGCTGGCTTTAAACTCAGGATTATCTTGCCTTAGCCTCACAATCCATTGGGATTAGAGGTGTGTGCCATGGAACCTGGTTCTATTTTATTTTTATATTGAAATATATATTACTTCTGAAAATAATTTATTCTTGATATTAAGAAAGCATAGAATACCATTTTCCCCCACAAATAACCCCCTTTTTTGGAAAATATGTCATTTTTTTGGAAAAGATGTCAGTAGTGCCAGAAGTATAATTTATTAATGTCTAAATGGAAAGTTTATTATTATTATTATTATTATTATTATTATTATTATTATGCTATGTATTAGTTACAAAACTTTATTTGTTCATATTATTATAAGGTATATACTCTTTTCTATAACTTCATAGCATACAACAATGTGTATCAAAATGACATTTTGGGGGTTGGGAGGTGAGGGGAGGGATCATGGGGTTAAAAATGATGGTGGAATATGATGTATATTATTATATAAAGTACATGTATAAAGAAGTAAATTCATGTAAATATAATTTGTATAAAACCAGAGAAATGAAAAATTGTGCTCTATGTATGTAATAAGAATTGTAATGCATTCTGTTGTCATATATAATTAAAAAATATTTAAAAATTAAATATAAATGATGGTATTATGTTCTAACTGAAAATAAATACTACTCCTTTTAAAAATTGAAAAAAAAGGTCTGTTGGACAGTTGTAAACTTTATAAAGTACAAAATGTATCCTGAACATTTGGTAATACATAAACCTAGATGTAGGTATTTATAGTGTTGTCAGCAAAATTTAAAAAAAAAATTCTGTAGAGTTCTCTTTTTGCAATGTACACTCCTAATTATATGAGGTGCATTTTGTACATTTACATGTATACTACCATTATATATAATTAATAAATGATTACTACATCTCACATTAACTATGTTTATTTCAAATTAATTTGTCTTTTGAAAGCACTTATATATGTCACTCTTTGATATGTACCCTTGGTGTGTCTTCAAATTTTTCAACTTTATATATTATGTTCTTTCCTTTATTCTCCTTTTTATAGAATTTCTTTTTCCAAATTATTGAGATTAATGAATTTTAAACATTTCAGTTTAACAGTGCAGTCTGTAGATTTTCTTTTTTAACTTAAGACAAAATACATCCCAATTTTAATAGGCTTATTGTTATGTAAATGACTTTAAAAACCTGCATATATAACATCCTTACCTGACCTTACTCTGGACTATTGATATCTGGGTGGAGGGGATCTCAAAGTGATCCATGGAAAAGGCAGAACAGGGATGGATCAAGATGTGACCTTGGTGGATACTGAGTATGTAGTAGTGAGTATTTATGAAAAAGTATTGGTGGAATAGGTACGGGTAGAGAAAAAAGTGCTGTGAAGAAAAGAGGGAAAGAATGACCAGCTCAAGAGTTCAGATTTAAAAAGTCTAATGGTGGATCAATGGTAGTATGAGGGTAAAGGGTAGTTTCTTTGGAGGCAGAAATAAGGTAGAAGTGAAAGAAAAAGGTAACTCTGGCACAGTCCCCAAGAGAAAGAGTCAAATGAACACGTTATGTGTTTATTTCTTCCCACCTCCAAGTGGAATTGATAAATCAGAGTATGTTTCAGTAGGTAGTATAAAACCATTTCCAAGTAGCTTTACAAATTTATATGGCCACAATCAACATTTGATAATTCCAGTCACATAAAATCTGTGTACTTTTTTATCTGTTTTGTTTATTTATATATTTATTCATTTCATTTTTTTTCATTCACTTTTGCTTTACTATTATTGTGAAATAGTAAAGCAAAAGTGAATATATATATATATATATATATATATATATATATATATATATATATATATATATATATATATCAAACTTCTATAACATTAGATTAAAGTCAGCCAGCCTCAGCAACTTAGTGAGGCTCTAAGAAAATCAGCAAAATCCTTTTTCTTTATAGAATAATTTATTAAAGGCTGAGAGTGTTTCTTAGGGAAAAAGCATATCTGATTTCAATTTGTCATGAGAGAGAGAGAGAGAGAGAGAGAGAGAGAGAGAGAGAGAGAGAGAGAGAGAGAGATCTTGCAAAAATAAAAAAAACGTAATCAGTGACACTCTTAGTGTCAAGGATGTAAATAATTTAAAAGTAATAATGAGCTAGTTGGAAATCTCACCTAGGTTATTAACTACTGCTTGGGAAGTTAGTCTGCTCTCCAAAATATAAAAGTGAGAGAGGAATTCTTTATTAAAGTGTGTATAAGAAAAAAGAGGAGTTTTGACACAGCTTTTAGTTGACCCAGACTGGGTCAACTTTAGTGGGTGATTAGGGTTCTGCCAAGATGATAAATCCTTGAGTTATTTGGAATAATGTGATTTTATCTAGTCTTCATAAATGAAGATTGAGGTGTAATATAAATCAGGCTTGGCAAAGGAAAAACATTTCAATGAAAAGTAAATGTATGAATAAACACATAAAACAATATTTAACAAAACTTCAACATTCAGAATATTTATGCAATTATGTAATCACCAGTAATGTAAAAACAATGACAACTAAAGAATAAGTGAATTAATAAAAAACAAATAAATAATGTAATGAATGAATTAATTAATGAATAGCTAACAAGTGCAAAGATGTAATGTGACTGGAATTGTCAAAGTCAGCTTGTAGCCATGAAAAAGTGTAAAGGTACATAGAAATGGTGTTTTACTACTTACTGAGACATACCCTATGAACTATAAATTCCACTCCTAGGTGGGAAGAGTTGAACACAGAACCCATTCACCTGGCTCTCTCACTTGGGAACTGTGCAAAAAATTACCTTTTTCTTTCCCCTCAAATTTTATTGCTGCTTCCAAGAACACTACCCTCTATATTCACGCTTTCATTGTAGACTTGTAGCATCTGAACCTGTCTACTGTTCAAGTTTTTCTTCTTCTTTTCATTGCTCTTTTTCTCCCTACCCCCATATCATCCACCAATACTTAATTTGTATAGCAAAATCTACATACTCAGCAATCACCAGTCTTATGTCTACTATATCCATTTCCTACCTTGTGCATGACCTCTTTGAGATCCCCTCCATGAAAACATCAATAGTCCAAAGTGATCAGAATGGGGGTAAAAATTGCAGAATATTAAAGGTCAATTACACAACAAGAAAGCTATAAAAAGTGGGCTTCATTTAAAGGTGAAAATAAAAAGAAAATCTTTAGACTTCACTAGTTAAAATAAAGGATCAAAAATTTATGAGTCTCAATAATTTGAATTATACTTGTGAGTCACATTTTGGGGGAAAGGGATATAAGGACATTGTTAATGAGTTTAAAGCTCAAACTGTTTTTTTTTTTTTATGAGACAAAGAATAGAAAAATTTAAAAAAATATATTAAAGTAATTGTGATATCATTTTCATAAAATATATATACATATTTATTCACAAATTGCTTTAACCTTATAAACAGTTATAAGTGTCAATGCATTTCTCTCTGGGCGAGGTCCTATTATTGGAAGAAAACTTTGCCTTAAAATAACCCCATACAGAGGCATTTAATGCAATTAACAGGCCATCAAATAATAATAATAATAATAATAATAATAATAATAATAATAACAATAAGTGAGGTGTGGCGGATTTCAGGGTTGTGAAACATACCTGTTATATAAGTTACTTGAAAAGCCATCACAGGAGAATTTTAAACACTGTCTGAAGACATATATGTAAATATTATTTATAAAAAGTGTTAATGGGTTCTGTAGTGAGGGTGCACAAGTCCAATACACAGTCTTTTTGTTTTCTTGAATATTTTTTGTTGTAGATGGACACACTACCATTAGTAATTTGTTTGTTGGTTGGCTTTTTAATGTGGTGCTGGGTGTTTAACCCAGTACCTCACACATGCTAGGGAAGCACTCTACCATTGAACCATAACCCTAGGCCCCAAAGTCCTTTACTTAATTCATTTTTTGGAGGGATTGTATGTGTGTAGTGCAGGGCATTGAATCCATGGCCTTATATAAGCAAAACACGCACTCTACTGACTAAGCTATATACTCAGCCATGATCTGTAGTCTTTTTTTTATTTAAAAAAAGAAGCGAGAAAATGTATTTCTGCAGACAGCACCTTTCTCTGTATGTCATGGAGAGGATCGAACCTGGGATTCATGGATAGCAGGCTAGCGCGCTACCGCTTGAGCCACATCCGAAACCCCTGGTTTTCGGTCTTTTAACATTGACAATGGAGCAGCCTGTCATTCAGACTTGGATTCTGCACCCACTTGGCTCAGGTTGGAGGCAGTGCCTGAAGCCTTGGCCAATCAGTCTCTTAGGCGAGAACTGTCCAATGTGCACCCAGCTGCTGATGAGGGGGTGGGCTTCCACAAACTTCCGTTCCCTTCCAGTCTGGAGCCGGCCATTTTTTCGATCATTTTTAGGCTTTCTGTCCTGGATCCGGAGCCCAGGTTTCTGTGCTATGGAGAAGCTGAAAAGAAACCACAGGGAGACCGCTGAGAACCCTGAAAGCCAGGAAATGGTAAGTGTGCCTTGTCATCTTGAGACTGCGTAGGAAGGTGGCTTAAGGCTGACAGGAGTGGCAATGGTGGAAACTGGCAGTTGTGGCTAGGGACTCCTCCTGATCCTCTCCAGAGGCTTGTGGCCAGAGGGTCTCTCTGTAGCAGCTTAGCCTTCACCTCCCTCTTACTAGTCTAGTGAGGCTTAGATCAGCAGTTGAAATCCTGGGCATTTTGTTTCATTATTGTATGGTGTTTTCAGCTTCTTTCTAAAGCCCCCTTTGTGGGCTTCCGTGTCCCATGAGTCCAGCATGACTCCAGATTGCATAGTGAAGACTGAGATAATTATCAGGAGAGGACCCCAAATCCATTTGTTGTACTCATGTATGAGATAGGCTGTTGATTTTAGGGCTTGTTACTCATGAGGGTTTGTTTGTTTGTTTATTTATTTATATATTTATTTATTGTGTGTGTGTGTGTGTGTGTGTTGTTTTCTTTTTGGTACCAGAAATTCAACTCAGAGGTGTTCATCCACTGATTCACATTCCCACCCCTTTTTTTAAAAAAATATTTTTATTTAGAGACAGGGTCCCTTTGAATTTCTTAGGGCCTCACAATTTGATGATGCTGGCTTTTAACTCATTCTCTTCATGAGTCCTGAGATTTTTAAATGTAGGGGAAGCAGTATCTCAAATCCAGAACTTCAGTTTAGCTCTCCATAGGTCTCAGAATAAACCCCAAGTTTTCCAGCTCTCTGTTCACATATCCAAAACTAGGGTTCTCTGTTCACAGAGAATAAGATAAATAGAATAGATAGTATAATGACCATGTAATGTGGATAATGGGTCTCACTCAAACACACGTGGCCGCTAACTGAAAGATATGTTAATGAGCACCATTAAGGCCTATTTCAAATGTAAAAGACCTTGAAGCCCACTTGTGGGAACACCTTCAACAAAGTCCTTTGTCCCAGGGGTGATTCCTGATTGAATTTGAACATAAAAGAATTGGTCACAGAAAGAATGAAAGTGAACCCCTGTGGTAGTCAGGATGCCTTTTCCAAAGCCTATTCTAAATGCATTATGCTCAGGTGTTCTGCCCAAAACCATTAGTAAACTTCTAAGATGGCACATCAAGATGAGTTTTTTTTTTTTTTTTTTCTTTTCTGGTATCATTCCTCATATCACATAGTGGGAATTCTATTTCTTAGATTTTTTTTTCTTCAAAATTTATGAGACAAGCACCCAGGTGCAATTGGCAAACTGAGAAATTTTGGTTCATCTCAAAACTCCACTTTCAGCATTATCAATCATTATTTTTTCATATTTTATTTGAATTGGATGCATCATTTATGTTTTTCTACAAGAAATGAAGGGCATTTTTAAAAGAGTTTAATTTATCATTCTGAGATTTTCACATCATGAGAAGAAAGCAGAATAAAATTTGGTGACATTAAAAAGAATGAATCTCTCCTAAATGAGGTTTATGTGTCCCAATTAATAAATTTTAAAACCTGTAATGGGTCATCAATTGATGTTTTATTTATTTATTAATGTATTTGTTTGTTTACTTATTTATGGCCAGACCATTTTATTAAAATAACCCACAGAAGGGGCTGGGGTTGTGGCTGACCTATAGAGCACTCACATAGCACGTGAAAGGTCCTGGGTTGGATCCTCAGCACCACATAAAAATAAATAAATAAATAACCCACAGAAACATTCCAAACATTTCAGGAAACTCTTTTCCTGCCTGGTGTGGCAGGAAAAAATAAAAGTGGAATTAACTTGAATTTAAATTACATGCAATTTCAATCTCTCTCTCTCTCTCTCTCTCTCTCTCTCTCTCTCTCTCTCTCTCCCCCTCCCTCCCTCTCTCTCTCTCTCTCTCTCTCTCTGTACTGCAGATTGACCCCAGGGCCTCATGCTTAGAAGGCAAGCACTCTACAAGCTGAGCTATTTACTCAGCCCCATTTTTTTTTGGGGGGGGGAGACTGGGGATTGAAGTCAGAGGGACTCTACCACTGAGCCACATTCCTACCCTTATTTTGTATTTTACTTAGAGACAGGGTTTGAGTTGCTTAGTGCCTCACCATTGCTGAGACTAGTTTTGAATTCATGTTCCTTATGTTTCAGTCTTGTAAACAGCTGATATTACAAGCATGCACCACCATGCCTGGCCAATTTCAATCTTACGGGCTAAAGTACACAGCAAATTAGATCAAAGTCCATGTCAATAACTCGGTACATTATTTAATATATATATATAATATTTTCTTAGTTGTTGATAGACCTATATTTTATTTACTTATATGTGGAGCTGAGAATTGAACCCAGTGCCTCACATGTGCCAGACAAGTGAGCTACCACTGAGCCCCAGCCCCAGCCCCCGGAACATTTTTTATGGGGGATATTGGAGATTGAACTCAGGAACACTTGACTACTAAGACACATCCCCAGGTTTTTTTTTTTTTTTTTCTTTGCTTTATTTAGAGACAAGATCTCACTGAGTTTCTTAGCACCTCATTTTTGCTAAGGCTGGCTTTGAACTTTTGATACATCTTCCTCAGCCTGTTCAGCAACTGGGATTACAGGCTTGCACCAACACACCCAGCCCCTGGTACATTTTTAATACCTGTTTTACATAGATTTTAACCAGTAGCCTTAACTTTTTTTCTAATATATAGTTGATTTGAATCCATAACCCAGAAATCAGTGAAACAGAATCTATTTTTTATCTGCAACTCTGCTTTTGGTTATGTCAGTGTCTGAGTTAAGATTACCCATTAAAGAATTTACTATGTGTTGTGTTCTCATTCTGACTTCCCATATGACCTAGTTCTGAGTTTTAGAATATCTGAAACAGCTTCCCAGAGATTCCTTTTTTTTTTTTTTTGGAGTATTTAGAAAACACCACTCTCTGAGTCTTGTCTTCTAGGGACCAGTTTGAATTTTAAGTGTGTAGCTTCTGAAGGGATGGACTAATTGGATGCTTTGCAACTGGAAGGCATTTTCTGATATACTTTCTATCTAAAAGGCACTTTATTTGTTTCCTTTTGTTAGATACTGTGAATAAAGGTACAATAAAAAATAGATGTGTGGCAATATATTTAGCAAAAGGATTCCAAATTTTTTACATACATACCAAAAGTTATTATTACTGGATTGTATGGCATTTTTTTACTGTCAATTATTATTCATTTATTTTTATTTATTTAAATACTGGAGATTAACCCCAGGGCACTTTACCAGTGTGCTACATACCCAGTCTCCAACACTTTTATTTATTTATTTATTTTTGAGAGAGGGTTTTACTGAGTTTCTTAGGACCTTGCCAAGTTCTTGAAGCTGGTCTTTAACTTGAGAATAAATCCCTAGTTTTCTACCTCTTATTCTCCTAAGCCACTGGGAGTACAGGCATGTATGATTTTGCACTGCTACCCCAAATTATTACTAGTGGATTATGTGGCATTTTTATTTGGTGCTTTTAAAGAACCTTAACACTTTTATAAAAAATATATTTATTAAATTTATATTGTCAACAACATTTTTACATATTTGTGTACCATTGAATCCCTATTAATTATGAGATATTTGCTTGGTTTTGTATGGTTTGGTGCTGGCTATTGAACCCAGAGTTGCATACCACTGAGACACATCCACATTCTTTTTTATGTTATATTTTGAGACAGGCTCTCATTAAGTTGATTGTAGCCTTGTTATGTTACAGAGGCTGTCTTTGTACTAACAATTCTCCTGTGTCATTTCCCATAGCTTCTAGAATTTCAGGCATATGCCACCACACATGACAATTTTAGATTTTTATAATAGCCATTCCAACAGCACTGCATAGGCTGAATAAAATCTATTTGATTAATGCATTGAATCCCTGAGGCAAGTTTATGTGAAGTAGCCAGTGTAGGAGTGTTGTGTAAAGATTAGCAAGGATTGTGGAATGTGATAGACATTATTATCTAAAGTACATATATGAAGATAGGAATTGATGTGAACATACTTATGATGTGAATATACATATGAAAAATTGTTCTATATGTGTAATAAGAATTGTGATGCATTCCATTGTCATGTATTTAAAAAAATAAAACAAAAAAATCTTTATATGTATTGCTGAGAATCAAACTCAGTGCTTTGCACATTCTAGCAAAGTAGTCTACAACTGAGACACAACTCCAGCCCATGTACCCAGCTTTTTATACTCTCTTTGTAGTAATCAGAAACAACTTTAAAAATTAAAATTGCATTTATACCACTTTCTTCGTACGGTAATGTATTACTAACTAAACTTATTCTTAGTATTTAAAAAAAAATCTAATGGATGACTGTTATTTTTTTCAGGGATTATTTTATCACTTCTTTAGGCATTGGTGAAGGGTCTTTTTTTTTTCAGAATATAGATTCCTTCTATTAACAAATGGGTCCATGCTAACTGTGTTGAAAATAGTGATTCTAAAAGTTCACACAATCCACACATTTCCAAGACTATAGGGGAAAGGGAAAGACAATATTCACAACCAAGAAACCATTTCCCATGGAAGCACAGTATCAGTGTCCATCCTGGAGTGTAATCTAGATCTTTCAGTGATAAGGTTGTTTAAGAACCACAACCATAAGTTTTTGGGATCCTCTAAAGTACACTGAATGGCTTTAAATCACTTACTCTTCTTCAAAATAAAATTTCTACTACCTACTTAAAAAATAAAGCACTATGAATGAGAAAGGTGAATGAGACTTAAGTTCTTTGGAGGTACTGAGGTTGACGTTTAATTATAGTTTATAAATAGTCAAATAAGAAGTGCCTTTGAGTTGTCTCAACTTTTCCAACACATGATATAGAATACTTAGATGAACTGACATGAAATAATGAAAATGCATTTCAGGGAAGTGATATCACAGAAATTTTCAGGGTAGAATCTTGGAAATGTGGGAAAAATACATTAATATACATATGCTTTTCTATAGAAAAAATAAGTGATAAGTACATGAGTATGAGGGTAAATTCAGTG